GAAAAAAACTTAGCTCAGCATAAAAAAATAAATCATACTTTTCAAACAAGCATACGAGATAAATTAATGATTAAATTTTCAGGTGCGGAGGAAGTAACATGAAATCTCTCCTTTTTTTTTTTAATGTTCAAACATCTATACTAGAAAACATTTAATGCATTTGCTGATTAGTTTGTGTGCTGGAGAAACCAGTTAGTAAATCCATTAATACAGTCATTGTGTGTAGTCAAATGTGTGTAGGGGACCTGCGTAGATCGCAGTCACAGGCTGGATGCAGAATGAAGGCAGCACATTGCATAAGGCAGCAGTCTGAGTGCCTGCAGGGTAGAAGAGATGGTTAAGTAAACACATGTGGTGATCATTGCCAAATTCGAGTGCCGAGGAGTTCTGTGGTAACAGAGGGTAGGAGAAACCTCGTCAGCGTTGGAGATGTGGGTGGATCAGGGGAAGCTTCAAGAGAAAGAGTCGTGATTCTTGAAGCATGATTAGGAATTAAACAAGTGGACTGGGCAGGAGCAACCTTCAATGTAGAGGGAAAAACCATGTTAAGAAGGAAGCCGTAAGAAAACCTGTCTCCCTAGAGACCTTACGCAGAATCAGAAATCTGAATCTATTTCTGTGTTTAAATGGTAGAAGACCACATAATGTATGGAATTGAAATTACCCAAGAGATTTGAAAAGTACTGCAGAGAATGTGGTGAGTGGGGAGTGCCAGGGCATTCGGGGGTTGAAGCTCTCCAGAGGATTCTAATGGCCAGCCAGCACTGAGAACCTCAGGTTTCAGAATCACCTGAAATCAGACACACCTGTATCCAAATCCTAAGTCTTACATACACTCATTTATGATTATGGACACATAATCTGTGTGAGCGCTTTTCCTTGTCTGCAGAATGGGAGGGAGTAATGAAACCACCCCCCACCCCCGACAAGACTATAATTTAATTCGTCCACGTATTCATTCATTCACTCATTCATTCAGTGTATATTTATTGAGTACTTACTATGTTCTAGGCAGCTAGCTAGATTCTAGGGATTTGGCAGTGAACTCTACAGATATCTGTGCCACCCGCCCCCCTCCCCCAACTCCAAACAGAAACAATGGAGGTTTTTTTTTTCCTTTGCCCTATGGCGTTTATATTTTACTCTTATGAGAATTAAATATAATAACATAGGTAAAGCACTTAGCACAATGCCTGGCACACAATAAATAGAGGGAAGTCTAGTAATAATCATGTTTGCTCACATTTAACTAGGGTCATAATGTGAAATTGAATAACATTTTAATTTATAATAAAGCCTGATTACTTTAATGGAATCAAAATGTCTCATTTAAAACAAACAAGTGATTAGCCCATAAATGCACTGATGTTATAAGATTGCAGTTTGTTTTTTCTCTGCTGAGGGTGTTCACTGCCAAAAGGCAATCATAAGTCAACCTTCCTTATGCCTTCCAGGAACAAAGATACCTGTAAATCATTATTACAAGAATGTAGTCAGTATCAGATACACCAATTACATAGTTATATGTTATCCTGTGGAGATTTAAGAGAAAATAGGGTGCACTTGATAATACCATAGCATTAATATCCATCCCTGCGACTCTGCTGAACTGTCTGCAGGATGGCTTTGGGAATGGAGAATTGGCAGTGAAGCAGTTCCCCAGCTTGACTAATCTGATTAGGGCACTGATAAGACCAAGCAGTGACCTACCTCCAGCAAGGTGCTCTTTGAAAAAGGAATGTAACAAATGTGTAAAACCTCAAAATAACGGAAGGAATGTTGCACTTTTTGGGAGCAGCCTTTGGAATCAAGTTTCACAGTATAGAGCTATTATTATCATCGATCGGCTACCTGTTTAGCAAATAGCTCTACTTATCTGGAGAGAGAACAGAGAGAGCGCTTGCTGAATAGTTGATGTTTCAGAATTTTAAAAAGAATTTTTTGAATATTTATTTTTGATACAGAGACAGAGCATGAGCAGGGGAGGGGCAGAAAGAGAGGGAGACACAGAATCCGAAGGAGGGGCAGAGAGAGAGGGAGACACAGAATCCAAAGCAGGCTCCAGGCTCTGAGCTGTCAGCACAGAGCCCAACGCAGGGCTCGAACCCACGAGCTGTGAGATCATGACCTGAGCCAAAGTTGGTTACTTAACCAACTGAGCGACCCAGGCGCCCCTGTTTCAGATTTTTAATGCTGCTAGATTTCGCATGGGGACAGTGCCCTAAAATTCTTCAGATTTGAATTTGCTCTGATGAATTCAGTCAGAAAATCCATTCACATGACAACTCAATAGAAACAATCCAGCAGGAAAATTGTTGCCAGTTAATAAGATCAATATTTTTAGTTAGAAGTATTCTTTTATCTGTAATATGTAACTGTTGCATTATATTGCATTGTGGATTATAAATTTATGCAGTGAGATTTAACAGAGCTGAATTTTATTCGTCCCTGGTCTTACTCTCTCCAAGTAAGAATGCTTTTCTTAAAAATAAATGATTTTTCTTGCCGCCAAATAGCTTTGTAAATTTGACCTCTGCTTCTAAATAATTCTGGTAGATTCTGTACAGGGACATAAACATCTCAGTAACTTTCCAAAGTATGCATTCATTAAGAAAGTTCTACCTGAAAAATACACATTAATTCATAGCAATAGAATACAAAGAGGAATGATACAGACTGTTGTCCGTATTTTAAACAGGTCTTCTGGTCTTCTGTGCTTGGTTGCTTATAATTCTTAAATACCTAATAAGAAATTAGAGTGTTGGTCTCATTGAAATTACAATCAGTGTATATGTAACAGTGTATGTTTAACCTGGATATTTCTGAGTAGAAGTCCAAGTTCAGCACATACTCACTGTACAGGTCAACCCTTGTCCTGGCACTGCCTTCGCAGCCAGTAGACAGTGGAGCAGTAAAAAATCAGCTGCTATTCAAGTAACTGTGGATGGAGAGAGATTGCTCTGGGCCCCAGTTTCTGACAGATTATTGATTGTTTATATCTGGAATGCTCAGGTGGTTTCCTGTTGTCAGTGCTTTGGGCAGGGACGGGGCTGAGGACCAGAGGTATTACTTTAGGCCACTTCATTAGGCAGGAGCCAGCGACCTGGCAGGGCAGCTAACCATAGCATTCAAACCAACACGTTTGGAAGCATAATTACAACTTGAAAATATGAGTGGAATGTATGGTATATTGTTTCTTCTTCCTAGTGAATCAGATTATGTATGAAATATTCTGTTTTCCATGGTCTTAATAAGAACGTGTACAGTAGCTGCAAAAATTCTGTCCTAAAACAATTTGTGAAGTCGAGAAAAAAGTGCATCCCGTAGGACAGGGATTTTCAACCTAAACACTACTGACATTGGGGCTGGATCCTTCTGTGTTGTGAGGGCTGTGCTGTGTGTTGCAGGCCACTTAGCAGCATCCCTCACCTCCACGCATGAGACGCAACAGCACCCCCAAGCTGTGACAATCAAAAATGTCTCCAGACATTGCCAAATGTGTCCTACAAGGCAAAATCACCTACGTAATTGAGAACCACTGCCCTAAGAAAAAGAGAATTCTTGAATTCCATTTTACCCTTCTAAATATGCGGCAAGTCAGGGCCAGCCTAAATAAGGGTGTGTGTGTGTGTGTGTGTGTGTGTGTGTGTGTGTGTGTGTGTATTTTAAACATTTCTTTTGAGCTATGGGAATTACCCTTACATCTTAATTATATAAGACTTTATTCCAAAACTCTCTTGAATACTATGTAAACTCAGGGTTCATCTAACTTCTTATTTCTATAGGAGGGAAGAATTAGCTACATTCTAGTGTCCCCTTCATTCTAAATAATTTGTCCATGATTCTGTTCCTTATACCACAGGGTAAAGAAAATTAATTGTTAAAAAAAAAAGTCCCTTAAAAAACAGGATCCATTTTGTCCGTGAGTTTTTGTATTTTGGAGACAAACGTTATTATTACACAAAGTATCAAACTTCAAGGATTGAAAATCTATTGAATTAGGAAGCTAAAAGATACCACCCACGGGCAGAAAATTGTTGAGCTAGATTATGCTTTAAAAACTGGAAAAGCAAATCACTAAAGTAGATTTCAAGTAAATTATTTAATTCTACTTAAGAACAGATATATTTTCTGATATGCAGATCTTCATATCACATCTTCCTATATCCATTAAAGCATTTCTGGCAGAAATTCTATCTTGTCACAAAATACCATGTGTATTTTTTTTAAACCGTGTAGCATTTCTTTAGAAGTTTTCTGTTTCAGACTTTCAGACACTCAGAATGGCTTCTCCCTAGTAAGGTAAATTCTTCGTTACATGTTTCACAGGAGTGTGATAAACTGTTGGAATATTTACAGTTTCTTTGGAAGAGCCTGCAACAAGTGAATATGCCAAATAGTTTACCTCGTGTGTTCAAGAGAAACGGTGTCATCATCATCTTTCACATGTCCCATGAGATTTATTTCCAGTTTATATTGACTGTGAAACTCTGTTATCCGCTGAGAGTTCTGCTTTATTTATTCCAGATAATAGGACACTTGCAACCCATTAACAGTTGTAAACAGATCTCTCAAGTTCATTGGACGTAGCAATTATGAAATGTATTTCTTAGACAAGTTTCTAGGATTATATCAGGATAAAAATGGAGATTAGGTGACCCCAGGAAGTTTCTGTATTGAACAATTGATCTATTATTCAAAAAGAAATTACAAGCATTATGGACACCAAGTTTCAAAATCCCAGCAGAAAATTTAATGGGTGAATTACCTATTGTATTCTGGAAAAGCGTTGATTTGAGGAATGCTTATTCAAGAAACATTCTTATCCTGAATGAAAGTAAATAAACATAGAATTAAATGAAAAGAGGGAGGGCGGAAAGGAAGGATGGATTATGGATGGATGGATGGATGGATGGATGAGGGATAGATTATATAATGTAGAATATCAAATTTGAGCCAAGACCTGTATATTAAATTTTGTTTTTTATTTTATTTTTCAGCCAATGTTTTCAGTTGCACCAAGCTTAGCCACCAATGCATCAGCAGCCTTTAATCCCTACCTGGGACCTGTTTCCCCAAGCCTGGTTCCAGCAGAGATCTTGCCGACCGCACCAATGTTGGTCACAGGGAATCCTGGGGTCCCCGTGCCTGCAGCTGCTGCGGCTGCTGCACAGAAATTAATGCGGACAGACAGACTTGAGGTAGGAATGCTTCACTGGTTCCTTTATGTACTCCGTTCTGATTTTCAGAGTGTGCTGCTTGTTTACTTCTTCCACGGCCGTAAAGGTTAAACAATATTTGAAGCAGAGATCTTGGTTTGGTGTTTGGAGCATTTTGCGAGAATTTAGGTATGCCATACTTGACCAGTGAAATGATTACGAGAGCCACAGCATCTGTATGTATAATAGCGGATAGGAACTTGGACTCTGGGGTTAGACCAGAGTCTAACTTCATTGGGCCTCAGTTACTTCATTGGGCCTCAGTTTCCTCATCCTTAACATGGAGATAATAATGGCCCTTACCTCCAGGAGTGTCTGACACACGGCAAATGCCTGCTAAATGTTGGTTGTTGTTGTTGCTAGTTAGAACCACCAAGGGACGCCTGGCTGGCTCAGTCCATTAAGCGTCAGACTTTGGCTCAGGTCATGATCTCATGGTTCCTAGGTTGGAGCCCCACGTCAGGCTCTGTGCTGATGGCTCAGAGCCTGGAGCCTGCTTTAGATTCTGTGTCTCCCTCTTTCTGCCTCTCTCCTGCTCGTGCTTGGTCTCTCTCTGTGTCTCAAAAATAAATAAATGTTAAAAAAAATCTTTAAAGAAAAAAAAGAACAACCAATTCTGTTCATCCCCTGACACTTTGTTCTCATAACGATTTGCTCAGCTACTATCTATAAAGCATTTTAGAATTTATTATTGGGAATTTCCTCATAGGCCTCACAGTATTTTGGTTGGAATAATAGCAAGGCTGCTTTGTTTGTGAAATGTGCTCTTATAAAAATGGTTTAAATTGGAAAGCGTATGATGCTCCAAGTCTCAGAGTCGAGGATGATCAGATCTATATGCTTTGCTGTTGCTGCATGAAAAAGAAATTAAAGAAGTAAATCTTACATTGAAGTGGTTGTTTCAGAATTGGAGCATGGCTATAAATTAATGGATTTGGTAAACTTCAGATGAAGAAAACAAAATGGCGACATTATTGTACATTGAAGCTCTAAAACCCGGCATTCATGTCCAACTAAGGAACAAAGTGACTTTTTCCTTTTCCTCTGGTTAGGATGAGGCAGTAGGTAGTTGGGGCCGAGAAGTTTTGGTGTTACTAGTTACTAAGAAAGAGGCAAAATAAGGCTGTTGTGTGACCCTAACTGACCCTAAATCAGTTTAGCAGGAATTTATTTAATAAGCACCAGTTTCTCGTTGGTAGGGCTTTACTGCATTCATTGCAAAAGATCTCAGATTTCAAGGTAGTGGGAACCTCCACCACCTTTTTTGATGGTGGTAACAGTTGGTATTTACTGGGGATTTACTCTACCAAACACAGCATCAACCCATCACATGCATTGCATCGTTAACCTTCAAAACAATCTGCTGAGGAAGATACTGTTAACTCCATCTTATAGGGCAAGAGATTTAGGGGAAAGCTGTGGCAAAACTTCCTCAAGGTCATGGAAAGGATGCTCCAGTTGGGTGTGAGCTCAGAGCTCCATTTTTAAACACTGTTTAAATCTCTCATTCCCATACAAGTGATAGTACAGAGAGGAAGCAAGACATTTTGGCGCCCATATGTTCTTTAGAGTGCATTGTTTGTTTGCATGTTTACCTTTCATGAAAATTTTGGGAAAAGCTACTGATGAAGCCAGTCCCGTAAGGACAACTCCGACAGGACGTGGAGACCTAGTTGTGTGCCCTCTGTGGACCAAGGACGGCTGTGTGCTAGAGATACACTTTCACTTGTGGGTGGTTGGTCGTTGTGCAGTTGCACTTGCTCATTATTTAACTAATGCTGTTTTCAGATAACTTAGGAGGCAATTTAGGAATTTTAAATATTTAAAAAAAATCACTCGAGGGGCGCCTGGGTGGCGCAGTCGGTTGGGCGTCCGACTTCAGCCAGGTCACGATCTCGCGGTCCGGGAGTTCGAGCCCTGCGTCGGGCTCTGGGCTGATGGCTCAGAGCCTGGAGCCTGTTTCCGATTCTGTGTCTCCCTCTCTCTCTGCCCCTCGCCCGTTCATGCTCTGTCTCTCTCTGTCCCAAAAATAAATAAACGTTGGAAAAAAAAATTAAAAAAAAAAAATCACTCGATGCTTAACGTGTGAGTCACCTTCCCCCTCCCCTGATCTTTCTCAAGCAAACCCTCGGTTCATAATGCATAATTGTTGATTGACGGGAACCAAATAGGCAGTCTGGGATGACCTTTAATGAATTAGTTATTGATAGGAGATGATGTTTAAGAAGCTTAAAAATCTCTCTTTAAATCTCCTTAAAGGCTGAGCTGTGTGGTCCGAACTCTTATAAACTCATCCGACCATAGTTTTAGGTAGTCTGTAATTGGTTATATTTTGATTAGTATTTAATTTAAAATAAGTACTTTTGGGGCACCTGGGTGGCTCAATCAGTTAAGCATCTGACTTCAGGTCAGGTCATGATCTCACAGTTCATGGGTTCAAGCCCCATCGTCGGGCTCTGCGCTGACAGCTCGGAGCCTGGAGCCTGCTTCGGATTCTGTGTCTCCTTCTCTCTCTGCCCCTCCCCCCACTTGTGCTTGCTCGCTCTGTCTCAAAAATAAACAAACACTTTTAAACAATAAAATAAGTACTTCTATTATTAGTTCTGGAGTTTTCTTGTGAGGAGCTACTTTGTGTATTTTGTCTGTCTTCTGCTACAGTGACAGCAGTTGGCTGCTGTGACATGACTGTCATTTCCTTTTAACCTGAATTCCTCTTATCTCAGTGCTTGATAGTGGTAGGGCAGCATCCTGTCTTATTCTGGTTAACAGGAGCTGCTGCCCTGTCACAGTTACAGTCTGTTAGCATATTGCACTGTGAAGCTAAGGGGCATGTCGTTCTGCTTGGCGCTGTGATTTTAGACACTCCTGTCTTCGGGTTATTTCCTCTCATGCTAACTGCACAGCATATCGCAATCCAAAAGACATGGCAGTAAGTGCACACACTTATTTACCAGTTAACCACATGTGTAGTTATTTCGGTTTAAATCTATATGCTCTTGTTTTTGCCTCTTGGAACTCTGAAGTGCGTGTTTGAATTTTGAGTTCCTTTTAAGGTGAAAAAAGTTTAAATCAGTTTAAATATTGGCCAACTGTTCTTGCCACTTCTTTCTCTCTTTCTGCTCCAAATTGTTAGACCATAAGGAAATTAAAAATACCATAGATTATCAGCCTTCTGGTTCTTCTCTTTGGGAGAACTGACACATATTTACAGCACTCACTGTGATACTACAAAAAATGTTAAGTCGAACAACAGGAATCCAAGAATTAGTGTTAGCAGTTTTGCTAATTAGATGAGTAAGCTTGGGTCAAGTTTCTGATCTTTTCTGAACTTCATATTCCACACATATAAAATTAGGGGATTGTACCAGATAATCTGTAAGATCACCTCCCGTTAGAATATTCTAGAAGACATTTAGGTTGTCTTTTTGTTTTTAATGCCAGCCACAAGTTATTGAAAATTTTATTTAAATATAACATTCAAATAAGCATATTTAATAAATACATTAAATTAGTTTAAATATACAAATGTATATTACATGTTTTATTAAATATCTAGATGTAAAACACACATCAACTTTATATCAATATCCATAGTATCCATTCTTTGTTGGATACCTTTTAAGAGACTTTGTAGCGGTATGCTTTCTATACTGTAAAATTCGGTATTCATGGTTTTCTCTAAAGAGGAGCAAATCTCTTAAATATTGGTCACTGAAATGAGGCTTTTAAAATTATATTTTTAACCTTGGGATACCTTTTTGTAATTTGCAAGCAGCAGTTTATTTTCAATGCTTGTTTTAAGAAATTGTTGGGATGCCTGAGTGGCTCAGTTGGTTAAGCATCCAACTTTGGCTCAGGTCATGATCTCACTGTTCATGGGTTCAGGTCCCACGTTGGACTCTGTGCTGACAGCTCAGAGCCTGGAGCTTGCTTTGGATTCTGTCTCCCTCTCTCTCTGCCCATCCTCCACATGCTCTCTTTCTTTCTCAAAAATAAATAAAAATTTAAAAAAAAAGAAATTGTTAAAATTTATAAGTACTAGACAGGACTGAGGTTTTCAGTCATATCTTTACTTTATTATGAAGAGTTGGTAATTAAGAAATTATTGTTTGACTTATTTTCATGATAACACAGTAATTTTTATGGTGCAAAAAGGATCCATGAATGCATTCATTCCCTCGTTTATTCAACAATATCCAAAGAACTACTGAACATCTTTCAAGTAAAAAAATACTTGTGAGGAGTACCTTTGAAACCTTTCAACGGCTATCAATAGCAAGAAAAGATCCACATCAGAATAGTGCCATACTCACAAATGATACCCAATAACTTGTTAAATGAATAAATGAGCCAGTCAACCAGTTAATTAATTAATCACAAAAAGATACATGCCCTTATTCAGAGTTTAGTGTAATCCAACAGAGAAGATAACACAGGATAAATTTTTAACATTTGTTAACATTCTCCTTGGGAACATGTTTACATTTTGAGCATTCCAGCTACAAAACATGGCATCTTGTTCTTGCCCTTAGTCCTAGAGCCGTGGTTTCCAAGTTTTAATGGGATTAGAGTCACATGGGATGATCGCTAAAAATGCAGGGCCTCATCCCCATAGACTGATTCCGTAGGTCTTCCTTCACTGGGGGAGTCTTTTTCACAAATCTGCCGGGTGATCTTAAACACAAATAGTCTGTAAAATACTTAACAGGATGCCAGCACCTGTTATTTAAGGCTTAACTTTTCATCATTTACCTTATGTACAGTTATTTGTGACTCAGAATTAAAAACCTTCCTCCTCCAAAACACTTAACATTCTACATTTTGTTAGGTTGCTAAGAACGCAGTGCACATAATGAAATTGTTCAAGTAAACTGATAATGATTAAGGTTGTTTATACCACCTACTAGTATTAATCAAACAAAAAACTAATCCACTGACCTTACATTTCAGAGGCTGACAAAGATATTAGATTGCTATTTGGT